GTGAGACTTTTCCTTCCTTGCCTTCCCTTGAGCACTTCTCTTTTCTTCTCTCCTTATCTTTGCCTTTCTTAAGAATCTCTTGTGAAAATTTTCTCCGAAGAGTCTCTCTGTGTGTCTATGTTTCTAGCTTCCCCTTAAGGAGCTTAAATAGGGAGTGGAGTGGTTATGTAACTACCCCCTCCTCCTAGGTGAAGGACACATGTCCCTCCCACTTAAAGAGAGAGAACTCCCCACTTAAAGAGAAAGAACTCCCCACTTAAGAGGGGGAACTCCCATACAGGATACTTTTTTATAATTTTAATGATTTGGCTAGTACACTAGCTAGCCCACTTATTACAAATTATTTGAATAAAAAAAATGACTTCAACAGTGCCCCCTTGAACACTGTGGGCCCAAAATCATAGAATATGGGCATACAGGACTTAAAAAAGCAGTTAAAGTCAAAATTTATGAAAGTTTTATCATTAGAAAAGAATTGAGACAAAATTGGAAGAGTCCTAGTATGATCAAGACTCTTGCAATATCTTTCGTTAGACAAAATCTGATATAATCTAACTGTTTGATTAATTTGATGAGGTTTTATAGTTACTCATCTTGTTAAATTGAGAAGTCCTAGTGCAACTAGGACTCTGGACTCTCGATTTTGTTATGCTTGATGTTATTAATTATGTGATTTGATTTGATTATTTGAGGGTTAACCATAGATTTTCACAGTTGGAAGAGTCCTGGTTGAAATAGGACACTTTGATTTTATCAAATTATCTTTTATCCACCCTTAAATCTTGATCCCGAGTTGTTTTTGACCAAGACAATTATTTTGTAGGCTCATAAAATAAGAGTCCTAATTTAAGTAGGATTCGCGGAGGAATCCTGGCTTTAGTAGGATCTTTTTTTTTTTTTGAAAATAATCATGTAATTAGTTTTTTTTTTTTTGAACAGAAGAGTCCTAATCCGAATAGGATTTTGAATAGGTCTCTTTTTTTATAGCATCCAAAGATGGATGTTGATGGTGCGCAATCCGGCCGATCCTAGCTGTCAACGACCTTGCCTCTGATTGGAGAAACAGGGGGGCCTGAAACGAAGAAAGTGGGGAATCTCCGGGGAGGAACCCGGCGAGATCACTCCAAAGCTCAAGTTAGTATTTTCTCAAAGGCAAGATAAAACCAGATGGCGCAAAGTTCACATACCTTCCTCGGGGGGTAGAGAGCCTTTTTATAACCACCTCGCGCACTCACTCCGAGGCCTCTGTCAGGTCGGGTATGATTACTTCTGTGCTTCTATCAGTTCGGGTGTCATCACCTCTGTTG